GAGGCCCCTCCGCCACAGGACCGGGCGTGCTCCGCCGACGCTCAACTCCGTGCCGCAGGTGCACAGCGCCCTGCCGTGGCCCTCAATGACGCTTTCCTGGCTCGTGGTCACGGACGCACGCGCACGTTCCGATGATGTACTCTTGCGCCTCGTAGGCCGTCGGCATCCTGCCCTGGCCGCCCATGTAGCACTGTTGGCCGAGGACGGCAGCCTCCGCCGCCGCCGCCATCTGGAACGCCTCGTCCAGCGCCGCGTCGCCGTCGTGGACGAGCTGCTTCGCGCACGCTATCTTGTGTTTCTGGCACATGCGCGTCACTGTTTCCGCCCTCTCAATCTCGTCCAGGGCATTCGTCTCCTTCTATAACTCACAGCCCAGGGTCTGTCTGATTAGAGCTAGAGGCCGCGCGTGAGAGTTCACCTCGATCCACAACAGGGCTCACACGGAACCCCATGTTTATGTTTTTGGTTTCATCAAGAACCCCCGATTTACATTCATCCGCGTTTCACGACGTAGTGTGTTCCCCACTCCGTTCGCAGCTTAGCCCTGCTCCCCGAGCGCCCTCTTGGAACCCCCAAACCGAAGAAGCCTGTTAGACAGAGCGTCGCTGGGTTTCTGGCGTGCGCCGTAGAAGCGCAGGATTGCGAGCTGGCCCGCAACCGTCAACCCTTTCTTATCACCATCGCGCGAGCAGCCTCTGCATGGCATTGCCTGTACATGCCCGACATCAGCTTCAGTTGTATCAGCACGTTGTCAAACTAGAAAGGAAAGTAACATGTAATGATTGATCTCAGGGTTGTGGTTCTACCGGGGCCAATGCATGGTAGCGGAGCTGATAAGCTCCACGGGCGACAGACTCACGGACTACATTGTTCCACACAGACATGGCGAAGAACAGCCACGGATTTGGTATTGTTCTTATAAGTAATGGAAACCTCACCACGGAGGACGATTACGAAAAGGGGTGGCAATGCCTACATCCGAGGAGTTCGGCGAGATGAACGATACGTGTGCGGTCCCATGTTGTGGAGATGATTCGAAGGACGAATTCGACAGGCCGCTAAGGGTTGTCGGAACGGATCGCATCGGGAGAAACGATGCCGCCACATAGCTGTTCCGGCACATTCGTGCAACGCTTGGAGCTCAGCCGATCCAGGACGTGGGCAAGTACTTCGTCTTATTGGTGTTCGACCTTCGCCGGGACACCAGAGAGCCGATGCCTAGCTATATCAGGAGAGACGATGCAGCCTATCATAATGTGGCCAGAAGATTCGACACCGAATGCTTCAAGAAGCAGAGAATGCAGCGTTTCGCACTGGGCCAATGAGTATAATTCCCCCTGCTCAGAGCTGAACTGGTTCCTGTATACGATCGAGCAGGAGGGCCGGAGAACGCTGCCGAGGAGGCGAAGGAGTTAAACGGGCAGCTCTGGAAATGTGTCAAGAGCGGGTTGGTGGAGATTCCCGAGCACACCGATTTTGGAACCGACTTCAATTGGGCGCTTCCTCTTGACCAGCTACACGGGCGGTTGCTGCAGAGATAAAATCGGCCACCGACCGAGCGAACAGCAGCTATCAGCGCGGTGGAGGGTTACTTCGACTACGACAGCATCGGTGAGCAGCTTCGAGCATCATGGCCAGATGACGATCTGACACATCATGATAAAAAAAGCAGGGCAAGGGCCACCGTCGCCAGGATCGCGGCAGGATCCATGCTGGCCGGGGTCAAGACGACGACGGTGACGACGACGAGGACGGCCGCGGCTACTGCGACGAGTCGGAGGCCTCCAACGACACCCAGCTGGACGATGACAACGAGACCCCCGAGGAACCACACTCTAGCGCCCGGGGGTTCGAGGAGACGGAAGCAGCCTACGCAGCCCAGCAGCGCAGCTTTGAGGAGGCCAGAGGCTTGCTTCGACGCGCAAGGGCGGCGAGGAAGTTCCACCCCGTGGATGAGGTCAAGAATCGCTGCCCTCGCGACAGGAAAGAGAGCCCAAGGGCCTCGAGCGGCGCCCCGAGGCTCTGCGCCTGGAAAAAGACGCGGGCGAGGCGTCAGGCATCGACGCGACCGACCAGATTCCAAGGGCGGCAACCACCCCCGTCCATCGCGGAAGGTCCCGCGCTTGAAGCGCGGAGGTAATCGCGAGACGAGAGACCATAGAGATCGGGCTTCGTCGACCATCAGCCGAGGAGACTGAGGTCGATGTCGACCCGAGAAGAGCTCCTCCAGCTTCGTCTTCTTCACCCCGCGGCGGGGCGCGGAGGTGGAGGCCGAACAGATCGTGCGCGGCGGGTCGATCCACGAGCTGGGGCGGGCAGCATGGCCGGGCGCAAACCTCGCTGGGGATCCATGTCCGCGCCGCCAGTTGACCGCGATCGCCTCGGCGACCTTTCTCGACGTCGGAGCCGCCCCCGGCGAAGCGGGCGCGGGGGCCGCAGAGAAGCTGCGCGACATCATGCGCGGGCAGACGGGCAGAAACATCAGGATGAACGTCAGCCAGCAGACAACCCTTATCTTCGGCGGCGGCCAGTCCAAGACCTTCGCCGACAAGGCTACTTTTCCGCCAGAGATCGCCGGCGTGGATGGCGAGCTCGAGATCGACATTCTGGGCGCCGGTGCCCCTTCAGAGCGGCCGCCTTGCGCTGCCGCTGGCATCGCGCGTCGATTTTGGCTTCGCGACCGCCCCCCGCTCGGGGCGCGCCCCCGCTGGCGCCCGAGACAGCTGCGGCGACGGGGGGGAACTGCGAAAATGAGCAGCCGGTCGAAAACGAACGCCCGAATGATTCCGCAGATGACCCCCGCAAGTTCCCAGTCGAGGCCCCCGACGGCGGAGCTCCGCCAGGCCTGGGTTCATCGCCGTTGCCCGCCGCGGCGGGGACATCGCCGCTGCCTGCGCCTACAGGGGCACCATTATTACCTACGCCTACGGGGGCGCCTTCGCCACCTTCAGCAGCCGGAACATCATCGTTGCCTTCAGCAGCGGGGACATCATCATTACCTACAGCAGCGGGGACTTCATCATTCCCCACGTCGCAGGCATTTTCGCCGCCTACTTCGTCATCCCACATGACATCGTTCGTTCCTCCTACGCGCGCCCCCTCCCCGAGATCCCCGCGCCCCCAGTGCCCCGGGCCCCGGGCGCCATCTGCCAGGGCCGTCTTTGGCGCGAGCGAGTCGAGCGAGGGGCCCGGCTGTCAGCAGCCCCCGCGTTCCCCAAAGTTGCGCGAACCACGACAGCGAGGCGGATTGCCGCAAAGCAGAAGGCCATCAAGTGAAGCCGGGGAACGAGGGGGCGGAGCCATGGCGCAGGAGCGGCCGCCCCCCGCGGGCCCAGAGCTGGACGAGTACATGAAGCGGATGTCGAAGACCTCTTTGCTGGAGCACCTGCTTGTCTTGGAGATGTAGGTCTGCAAGAAATTGCCGTCGCCAGCGACGCGCCGCCGCTGGCAGCGACCTATCCTGCAGAACTTCCTGAAGACGGCGCACTTCGAGAGGTAAAAGATGGGCGGCTGCGTCCTGCTGGCGCAGCTGCTGCCCGCCAAGTGCCCGACGTGGCCAGCGGTGCTCGGGCATCATGCGAAGATCGAGATGCGTTGCCCGCGCGCAAAGGCAGAGAAGCCGGCCGCCGCGGCCGCGGCGACCTGGCAGAGCAAGGAGCTGCGCGACGCCATCGAGTGCGCAAAGTCAGATTTCTAGACCAAGCATGCGGAGGTGGCTGCGTTGGCAGCGCTCAGCTCGGATTATGGTCACGCTGGTCAACCGCCTCAGGCCCTGGCGCAAGGGCTGGGGGCTGGCCCAGGCGGGGGAGAAGGAGGTAGCGATCGACGGGGCCATCGCGCGCGTCATGGAGCCGCGCGGGGCGGGCTCGACGATCAAGGTCAAGGCGGAGGTGGAGACCAAGGAGGTGGAGACGGCGCCCATTGTCGCGGGCCCGGCGATCGCGGCCCACTGCGCTCAGGAGTGCCAGCGTCCGCTCCGTCAGCAGAGGGGGGCATCGCGAAGCACAAGCCCATCGCGAAGGTTAAGCCCCGCGGGTGGCGCCACCGTTGAAGGGCCAACGGCGTCAGGCCATCAGGGCAGCCGCCCACTCGACGCGGTCGGCTCTGTTCGGGGCCCCGCGCTCCCTCGCAGCCCTCGGCCGCGTGGCGACGGTCGAGGCCTGCGCTCGCCAGGGCTCGAACCTGGGCGCGGTGTGCGACGAGAAGGGCTACCGCTGCGGGCGGCTCGGCCTCTTCGGCGACTGCGACCGCAGCAGAGGCAGGGCTGCCGCGAGGCGAAGTTTCTGCTGGACGGGAAGTGCCTTGATATCTTAGCGCCCCACCCTGCGGGGCCCGGTCGACAATGCAGAACGTCAGCCAGCAAGACGAAAAGCACGAGGGTAACCTTCGCAAGACGAGGGCCAGGAGTCACGTGACTGTCGAGAACAAGGGACCCATAGAGCATAAGGTTCTCAACTTGAGCGGCTCGGCCCTCGCCGAGCGACCTCGCGACGGCCGCTCGCGGCATCGGACTTGCTGGATGGATATTCCAACTGTGCTCCCCTGCGAGGTCATCGTGGGCAGCTGTCCGCGCGGTCCCCGAGCTTCAGATTCTGGGGGCCCATGTAAAAGCGCCTGGAGTTCCTGACGAGCGACAGGGGGATCTGGGTTGCCCCCGGCCTTGGCAGTGCCGCGGAGGCCACTTTCACGAGGCAGTCGAGAGCAGCCTCGGACCGAGGCAGGGCCCTCCGAGCTCTGACGAAGAGCCAGAACCCCAACTACTTCGAGGACGACGTCGCGCGCTGCCACTGCCTGGTCGCGACCCAGCAGCCGCGCGCCCAGCCGACGGCGGAGGTGGAGGAGCCAACATTACCCCGCAGGACGGCAAGGAGAGTCACAACCTCACCAATGAGACGGTCAAGAAGCTCGAGAACAACATCATGCTGGACCACACCAACCTTGGGCGCCTATCTCGGACTCATCTACTACGGCACATTCTAGATGGAGCCGCTCGAGCAGAGGCGCCGCGGTTGGCCCGCATTTTCAAGTGCGACATCTGCGATGCACATCAAGCGCCGACGAAGCGGCCACCTGCATCATCAGCCGAACAGCCCTCGAACGGCAACGAAGTGCTCTTCGGCTCTTTCCCGTGGATCCGACGCGGCACGAACGCGAGCGCGATGGCACTGGCGGTCCTCTGCGCCAGCTCAGACGCGCTCTACGCCGGGCTGATCGACGAGCAGGAGATCCTGGGACGGACTCGACAAGTGCGAGCTGGAGACTTTCGGTGCATCTTCTCGACGAAATGACATTACTGGGCGGGGCGCCCGAAGGTCATGCGCGATGATCCCGCTGGGGGTGTCATGCCCGACGAGTCCAGGGAGCGGGTCGAGAACCCGGGCATCGATTGCCTGCCCTGCGCCGCCGACGCCCACGGGTCGATCGGCAAGATCGAGCGCGCGATCGAGGCGTTCAAGGAGGCTCTCGACGCTGTCGACGATGGCCTCAGCCGATGTGCCGACATCAGAGGTGATCGGTCTCCAGGTAGCAGCAAGGAGCGACCTGATCAGGATCAACGGTTTCAGCCCGCTTCAACGACATGCGGGTCGGACGCCAAGTGGCGCCGCCGTCGACCTGTCCGACGAGCCGCGCAACCTGCCTCTAATCGGCGCCGAGCTGCAGGGCAGTTCCTTCAGCGGAGACGCTCAAGTACGACGATTGGCGAGATTGGCGCGCATCCAGACGGAGTACGCGGACCGCGCGAAGCGAGCCGAGGCAGCAAGGTCCAGGACCTTCCAGAATATTTGGCGTTCTCGCGCAGGCGGCCCTGGCCCGGAGCCAGGCGGGAGAAAGGGCGGCCCCGCCCCGTGCCAGGACGAGGCCGTTGGCACGGACCTGGGCGAATTATTTGCCGCGAGCTTGCGAGCTCGGGGCGCCGACCTGGTCTAGCGGGGGCCGCGGTCAACAGCGCGCTTGCTGGTCGCCTCTACCGAGTTGCTCCAGGACAGCTTCGACCTGCCACCCCGCCCGAGCAGGCAATGGACTCTCTGCGCTCGCGTCACGAGCGTCCAGGGACGCGGGCCTTCGGCGAGGCTCAGAAGCAACTCGACACTAACTGGGTGATCGACCCTTCCATCGAGGCCCCGCCAACTGGAGGGGATCTGGCCGCGGGCGACTGCAAGTCGGGCGGCGCCCGCGCTTTCGCGGGAAATCCGATGGGCGCCCTGGGCTGCTGACGAGGACGATGATCTACAGGCGCCCTGGGGGCGCCCTCGGAGTGTTGGGCCAGGGGGCAGCGGTGGCGGCGGCTCACCTTCGGCCCCGCCTGGGCTTGAAGGACCTCCTCCGCCGGGGCCGATGCCGCCGAGGAGGATGCGGCAGAAGGAAAACCCTGGCTCGACAAGTGCTGACCCAGACCCTGACATCCAGCTTGCACCGCCAGAGTTGCCACCAGGCCTTCCTCAGCCTGGCGACGAACGAGCTGCCCAATAAACCAGAGTAGCTGAACTGGACTACCCGAAGAAGATCGCCGTGGATGCCCCTCCGGTTAGGTTCGGCAATTATAGCACAGGAGGCCCATATAGAAAACCAGCCGAAATATTCAAACTATCTCCAGCAGGAAACTCACCCCCCCCCAGAATCTTCAGAAAATCTCCGAGCCCAAACTTGCGAAATCTCAAGCCAAGAAAAAGCTTCAAACCATCCGAACCAGGCAATTTGAACCCAACAAAAAACATGGAACCGAAACTCCACAACAACTTGAACCAGAGAGATTGAAAGAACTATGGTTGATGCTTTGGCGGCCAGATTGTTTTTTCATTATTATTATTATTCTTATTATTATTATTAGTATTATTATTAGTATATGATTTTTATGTGTATATATACGTGGTTCAACAATTGTTCGAGATGTGTTCTTTCAAGTTTTCAGGCGCTTAGAGTTGTTTTAAAGTTCTGTTATATTGTATATACAACTGACTTGTTAGACGGCTCGAGTTTCTCGATGTTCAGAATTCTGGTAGACTTTTTGAAGTTTTCTTATCTTAGAGTTCTGGTTTCAAGTTCTTGGTAGTTTTGAGTGTTATTCCCAAGGTTTCGGCTTAGAGTTTTTGTGATGGTTTCTTGAATGAGAGATTCTCGTTGGTTTGGGTTTAAGGAGTTTTGGAATTCTAGAGTTCGAGATTATCACATGATTTTGCTTAGAGATTTTTTTTTTTGAGTTTGAGATCTGTGCAGGTTTACGTTGAGCGATGTTTGGGTTGTCCTAGAGTTTTCGCAGGATGTGGCTTAGAGTGTTCCTCAGTTGTTTTAGAGTTTGAGTTTCTTCGCGTCCTGTGGCGGTGGACCGCCTGTAGTCGTTCTTGCCGATCCTAACTCTCCCGGCGACGACCAGGGGGATCATGCTTCTCAGCGCCCCATTGCCGTGGACACGGATGAAGACGGCCCAGGGGAAGCGACGGCGCCCGAGACCAACGGCAAGCGTCATCGGCGAGCACAGGGGTCGTCAGAACCCCCCTTCAAGAAGCAGCGGATCGCCGCTGCCACCGGGGGGGCCTTGCCAAGTTTTTTGTTTCGCGCCGCACGGTGGTGGGCCGCCTTTAGTCGCCATCGCCGATCCTAAACTCTCCCGGCGACGACCAGGAAGACCATGCTTCTCAGCACCCCATTGCCGCGGACTCGGACGAAGACGGCCCGGGGGAAACGACGGCGCCCGAGACCAATGGCAAGCGTCACCGGCGAGCACCAGGGTCGCGAGGCCTTTCCCGCTGACTGCAGGAGGGGGACTACCGGGACTACGCGGGCGGCGCCCAGCAGTGCGAAGTGCGACGAGGCCAAGTGACGAGCTCATCGCGCGCGTCATTCCGATTAACAACGAGCACTCGCTCAAGGCCTACATGGGCGATCCAAGCAAGGCCCGCGGGGGCCGAGAGGAGGTCTTCTTCAAGAAGGCGACCGCAGATGAGAAGAAGCTGCAACTCGAGGCCCAGCAGGAGGAATGCGCGCCCGTCCTACGCGCGAAGGCTGTCAGGGCCCTGAGCATGCAAGGGGTCGACCTGGCGCGCCTCCTGCGCTGTCGCTTCGTGCTGACCTGGGAGACGGACGAGCAAAGCGACGTGCTTCGAGGAAAGGCCAGACAGACTGGTCGTGCTCGGATTCGGCGACCCCGACCTGCTCCGCCCGCGGGCGGAGTTCCCCGCCCCCGCGCGACGCGCGCAACAATTCCTAGTGGCTGGCCGTGGCAGCGAGACGCAAGTGGAGCTCGAGAAGGCAGATGCCGCGACGGCTTTCCCCCAGGGAGAGACCAGCGAGGAGGCGGGGAATATCTACGCGGACCTCCGAGAGACGTTCGCCAGGCCTTCGGCATGGACGACGACGAGGTCCTACAGTTCCTCAAGCCAGTGCACGGGTTCGCACACGTTTGTCGCAAGTGATGGATCCACTTCGAGGACGCGCTCAGGAAGCTCGGACTGGAGGCTGTCCAGTGCGCGCCCTGCGTCTGGGTCACCTGCGACGGCGACAAGCTGGTCGGCATGGTGATGCTACGCGTCGACGGTATGATGAAAGCCAGTGACCACGCGAGCTCGGCTATCCTCGAGAAGCGCGCCGAGGTCCCAAAGGTTTTCGAGCGGGTGCCCTGCGAGCGCCGAGCCGTCGTACAGCGCGGTATCAGCATCCGACAGAACGAGGATTTCACCTGAAACCTCGCTCGCGACAGCTACAGCCTGAACGTCGAGCCAATCAAGATACGACTTGGCCGAAGATCTACCGAGGGAACCACGGACGAGGAGCGATCAGGCCTACGAGGTCGACTTGGCACAGTCGGAGGGCGAGCTCAGCAGTCGGCCCCGCGGCTCAGCGCAGAAGGTCCTCGACGACAAACTGAGATTCAAGCGGCAACGGTCTCAACCATCCAGAAGATCAACAAGTTCATCCGCACCGTGAACAACGCTGCCGACGTGGTCGTGCTCAACCTGGCCATCGACCAGATCGCCGTGGTTGGCCGGTGCGGCGCGGCATGGGCCGCCCGCGTTGCCGGCGAGCCCCAGGGCGGAGAGGTGATCGGGTTGGCCCCGCTGTCCTCCCCCAGCGGTTCGACGGAGACCGTGGCGCCTATATCGTGGAGATCGCGCAAGTTACCTCGAGTGGCCAGAAGCAGCGCGAGCGTGGAGGTCCAGATGATGACTACGACTTTGGACGAGAGCAGCTAGGTTTGTCCCATCTGCGCGCAGGAGTGCGGCCCCGTGGACTACGCGCCCCAGCAACCCGTGAATGGCGCCGTCTCAGTCTGCCCTGCCGTCTCAGTCACAGGCGGGAAGTCGGGGGGACGAGCGTCGAGCGCTTCGGCAGTAGACGGCAGAAGGAGCGGACGGCCCTCCAGATAAGTTGGGTTTACAGCGACGCTATGCTAGCCGACGGACTGACCAGCGATCGCGCAGCCAATGTTTTGCTCAAGTGTTTCAGATCTGCACAGCGCTGGAGACTTGTAGACGACCCGCTGCATCGCAGCGCCCGGAAGCGCAAGACCGAGGGCATGGACAAACTCGACCATTGCAAACCACTGTCCGGCGACGTTCGGGACGCCGCGCTGGAGGCCCTAGTTTATTTCGCCCGCGACAATCCCTACGAGCAGAGACCCCCTGCCAGAGACATCGCCTTGTGGGGCACGTTGAAGCAGTTCCCGCGCCCTGTGCTTCCTGTGAATTCAGGAGTCAAGCGCAGGCCCCGATGCCGCGACATCGATCTTCCAATTTTGGACATGCAACTCACAGCCCAGAGCCTGCCTGACTAGATCCTACTTGCGACAGCTAGTCCCTAAAGTCAGCGCGTGAGAGTTCACATGTCGCCCCATATTTATGTTGCTGGGCTCATCAGGAGCCCCAGCTTTATGTGTATGAGCATTTCACGGCGTAGCGTGTTCCCCTTTCCAGTTACAGCCCAGCCATGCTTCAATGTTTCACCTGTTTCCAGGACGTTTCTTCTGAAATTGTTCGGGCTTGCGCCTTCGCAGCGACAGAGCGTCGCTGGACTCCTGGTGTGCGCCATAGACGCGCAGGATTGCGAGCTGGCCCGCAACCGTAAACAGTTTTTGTTGTACCAACATCGCGCGAGCAGCCTCGCGCTCCGCACTGACCGTACATTCCCGACATCAGCATCAGTTGCATCAGCGCGTTGTCAGATTAGAGCGGAGGGTAGCATCCTAGCATTGATCGCAGGGCAGTGGTTCTAGTGGGACCATTGCACCCTTAGGGGCCTGGCTGGGGCTGGGTCGGCAGAGGGCTGGGCGCCCCCGCTGCTGCGTACGGTGACCTCCACCTGCGGCCCCACGACCTCCGCCCACTGCACCCGCACGGAAGCATACCTGTGCCGCCCGAGCTGTTGCGCTTCAGACCCGTATCAGACGGCTTCAGCGGCCAACTAATGCGGCCACCACGGCAGGAGAAAGGGAAAAAAGGTAGCAGGGGAGGCGAAAAAACATCTTGTCGTATCCTTCGCCATCTGGCGTCTCGTTTCTCCTCTTCCTTTTCCTCCCTCCCTCGCTCTCGTCGCGGACGCAGGAACAGCCACTTGTCTTGCGGAGGAAATTTGGGCGGCTACTCGCTGATGTCTAGGCTAGCACAAGCTTGTTGCTAGAATTCTTGGGTTCACCATTGCGTTGCTTTGCGCATGGGTGCATTCTCGGTCTGAGTCTACTGCTGGATAGCCCTCGCCAGGGGCGGTATAATTTTCCTTTCTCCAACGAAGGAACATTTTTGCCGCCCGAACCACCCGCGTACGCAGTACTGCACCATCGTTGCCGCCTCGGGACGCCCATTGTCCGTCAGAGAGGCCCGCTCCACGCCAGCCGCGAGGTCCCCGAGCACTCCCGCCGCTTCCCCACGCGCAGCCCTCCGCGGTTTATGCCCCCTCGCCGCCTGCCATTCGGGCGCCTCGTCCGCCGCCAAGACGGACGTCAAGGGCGCTGCCGCATCCACGTGCAGGCCGCTACTGACGGTGAACGCTCGGTCGACATCGGTCTTCGCCTGGGCACTCGCCTGGCCTCCTGCGGCGCGCTCCGCTGCGCTGACGCACTCAGGCAGCTCCTGCGGCCGCCCAGGAGCTCCTGCTCACGGCGCGTCCGGCGCGCCCGCCTGCAGTGCCGCGGCAGCTTGCTTCGAGTACTGCAGGATCACGCCACCCACTGGCGGTGGCGCCCAGGAGGCCGCGCCGCAGCAACACCACTGGCCGCCATCGGAAAAGGTGCTGCACGTCGTAGCTGCGGCTGCCATCTTCACGTTCGCCCAGGCTTTGCCGCAGCCGCAATGGGAGCTGCTGCCCGCATCGCATTGGAACTGCAAGTCCGCTTGGCTGAGGCTCGAGGCTGGCTCCAAGGAGCCGAGGTCGGCGCGTTGAGCCAAGATGGGGCTTGGGGAGGAGGGGGAGGAGAAGGAGGAGGAGGAGGAGGAGGAGGATCAGTGCAAACCTAAGACGCATCAGCGGTGTTGGAATAAGCCTTCCCTCCAAGACCCCTTCTCATAGGCCCTATACAAGGATACGTTTCCACTGAGGGAATTGCCCCGTTGGGTGACAATCGTTTGAACATCTTGAGGCGTGCCAGAACGCGATTACCGAGACTCCAACACCATGAATCAACTTGACTGCTGCGTCTTGCTGATCCGAAATCCTGCCAAAACACCGTTCTTGGGACAACAGCACCGCGAATCAACGTAACTGCTGCGCCTTGACAATCCTGAATCGCTCCAAAACGCCATGCCTAGTACGTTAACCATGGGATCCGTGAAACTTCCATAAACTTTGAGACGAATGCGCGCGGCGCTCAGGCAGAGCCACATTCTTGAAAGGAGCCGCCCTCAATCCGAGAAGCGATTGTACATTTTCACTGCGACTGTACGCGGCGCTAGGGCGAGAGCTACATTTTGAAAACGGCCGCCCTCAATTCGTAAAGCTCTTGCAGATTTGTAAGACGAATGTGCGCGACGCTGAGGCGAGAGCCACATTTTGGAAGCGGCCCGCACTCCATGTGTGAAACTGTTGCCGGTCTCTGAAGCTCCGGGATCATAAATGGTAAGGAATTCTGAGGCGAGCCGCCCGAACCTCCCTTCCGACTGACCTTGGGGTGCGACAGAGAGGAGGTGTTTAGAACGGAAAAAAAGGAGCCGAACGAGGATGAGGAGGAGGGGGAGGAGGAGGAGGGGGAGGAGGGGGAGCCGGGAGACGAAGGGGGGAGGCGGGGATGGTGTGGCAGGAGGGAGGCGAGGAGGACAATGGAACAGCGGCAGGCGACACCCTACTTCGCCGGCCACGAGGCCGCGCCTGGTGCGCCGACTGCGCCGCCCGCGGGCCCGTACCTGGGCCCTGCCGCGGCGGTGTACGCCGGCGGCATGCGGTGACGGGCGAGCCCGCCCTGCAGCATCGTGAGGAGATCACGTCGGGCGGCCGCTCCGAGCCCCAGCCCCGCTTCGTGCTCCGGACCCCCCCCGCGGATCAACGGCGCGGAGGGGATCTGAACGGAGGCGGGGCCGGGAGCTCTGGGGCCCCTGGCGCTGTGGCTCTTCCCACGATGGCGCGGGTCCCGGGATGTAATATTCTAGCTGCAACGTGCGTTTGCTGGGCTGTGCTGATTCGCTGAGCAATCTCGTTCGGCCCGACCGGCTGCGAGGTCGTGCCCGCGTCTGTTTTCAGCCGCGCGCCAACGCCTTCGGGAAGTCCAAGCGAACGCAGCAGAGAGCGAAGGTCGTTGCCCGACCCCCATGGCGGCTGGGCGAAGCGCCGCGCAGAGGGAATGAGACAAAACGCGGCGTCATCGCATGAAGGGCGGGTTCCCGTCCGCCTCCTCCCCTCCTGCCCCTGGTCGGCGCCACCCCATCCCACCATCCTGGCCCTCTCTGCTGCCTACTGCCCATTCTCGGCCCTCTTTCTTGTAGGCAGCAGGGCGACGAGGGTAGAGAGAAGTGATGGGGGAAGAGTCCAGCTGGGTGCGATCGTGCGCGCCATCTCTGACATCTACCCCCCACGCATCCTTTCTCATTGCATTGCTTTTCCCAACCATCCTGTGGTCTTGGGCGCCCCGCGTCTCCTCTCCTCATTTCCCCTTCCCCTCCCTACTCTCATCCTTGCCTCTGAGCCCTCCGCATGTCAGCAATTGTTCCACACCACTCACACGCTTCGTGGCCCCATAGGAAACTCCACCGAAGGCCCCTGAGGGAGCGTTCGCATGTGGGCGTCACGCTCGTTTCGGCACACCCGTCACACGCTTCGTGGCCCCATAAGTAGTTTTACTGAAGGCCACAGGGGGAGCGTTCGCACGTGGGCGTCACGCCCGTTGCGGCACACCCCTCACACGTTCCGTAGCCCCATAGGCTTAGGGAGCTCCACCGAGGGCCCCAGAGGGAGCGTTCGCATGTGGGCGTCACGCACTACGGGACAACCCTCACACATTTCGTGGCCCCATAGGGAGCTCCACCGAATGCCCCAGAGGGAGCGTTCGCATGTGGGCGTCACGCCCGTTGTCGGACACCCCTCACACGTTTCGTGGCCGCATATGGATCTCCTCCGAAAGCCCCAGAGGGAGCGTTGGCGTGTGGACGTCACGCCCGTTTCAGCACACCTCTCACACGTTTCGTGGCCCCATATGGATCTCCTCCGAAAGCCCCAGAGGGAGCGTTGGCGTGTGGACGTCACGCCCGTTTCAGCACACCCCTCACACGTTTCGTGGCCAGGCCCTAGAGGGAGCGTGCGCATGTGGGCGTCAACGCCTAGGGATTTCCGCCGAAGGCCTCAATGGCAGGGTCCGCATGCGCCCCCACGCGTTTTTCGTCGCATGACCCTCGCGTGCTTCGTGGCCCCACGGGGAAGCACACCGAAGACCATATTCACATCTGCGGCGTTCACAACTGCGTATCTTGCGTCCTTCGCCAGGACATGTGTCTCTTCATCCGCCGACTGGTGCCATAACGGACCCATACCCCCCCCCCTCAAAGGACACCATCGTGACATGCGCAATCAGAAAAATGGTTAGTTATGTAATTTGGAGGAGGAGGAAGATTTTTTTTTCATTTCAGCCTCTGAAGGATTGGAGCAGGACACGGAGACGACGAGACCTGCAACGTGGGATACCTGCAAAGTGCTGCCCTCTGCAGGCCAAGCCGAAGATATACCTCTAGAGCTTCATGGGCGCACCGAGGCGTCGCGCACCCAGGGGGAAGCAGATTTATCTCCCCAAGCTTCGAAATCCATGTTGATTCTCCAGCCTGACCTCGACGGTGTGGAAAAACAGAACCCCAGCTCAGCATCCGAGGCAGAGAAAAGACGGCCTTCCCCAGGATCGTTCGGGAGCGAACGGGGCACCCAAGCGGCCTCGGGGAACACAGAAACACCTGCCAGGGGACTCAGAGGGCGCTCTCCAGGAGCCGGGTGTGTAGGAGACGAGGATCCCGTAGCTGCGTCAGCCAGCCATTTGCTAGCGATGCACTGGCGCGCAAACCACCACCGGCGGCCCAGAGACCCTTCACCACGATCAGGAGCAGGTACTGCAGGAACTGGAACCTCTTGTCCCGCCGCGGCTCCACGATCTGCACGCTCAGGACGAAGAACAGAATAGCCACAAGCTAGATCTGCACGAACACACCCTGCGAGCGAACGCAAATCACCAGAATGGCAAAGAACAGGATCTTGACCTCGAGCAGCACATCCCTCCTCGGCATGAAAAGGGCGGAGGCCAGCAGCAGGAGGAACAGGAAGCCGATCAGGAAGACGAGGTTCCCTGCCCTCCGCACGTGGGGCCACACTTCCAGGATGCAGCCAGGCCAGGGGCGGAAATCCAAGTGAAGGCGCAGAAGACGAAGAGGAACAACCCGAAGCAGTCGAAGCCGAGTCCCAACCATCTGGAAGAGGGAGTAGATCGGCCAGGTACAGCTTACGAATTTCTCCACCATGCGCCGAACGGCGTCCTGCCCATTGATGCTTTGCACGGTTAGCAGCTCGGTGGACACGAAGGGCACCCCGAAGATCACCTTCAGCGAGCCCTGCATGAAGAGCAGCGTCACGCGCGTAGTGATGTGGACAGCCTGCCTCCTGGTTGTGGCAGTCGTGCAGCTCCAGTGACCGCAGCATGCACCTCGCGCGTCGAACAAGATGGCGGGGAACGTGAACGGCGACCGTGTCGGAGCTGGCGTCGACGAACCCGAGGCCAGTGCCACGCAGACGGCGAAGGCGGAGCTGCTCTGGAGAGCGCCAGTGGACCATGCAACAAATTGAAAGAACCACGCGAGGCGGTGCGCAACCATGAGCTCAGGCGGGACGGCTTGAGCCAGCTTGAGCCAAAATGGCTACGGACGGAGGAGGAGGAAGAGGTTGCGTATGAGCTGGAGGACGAGCAGGAAGTAGAGGAGAATGAGGAATGATGATGACGATGAGGAACAGCAGCAGCAGCAGCAGGAACAGGAGTGGGAGGAGCGGGACGAACAGAAGGACCAGGGGGGGGGGTGGAGGAGGGGAAACGAGCGGCCAGACAACGATGAGAAAAACTCAGATCCAGAAAAGTGGACCGTGCTGGGCTCGCGCAATGCAGAACGACGTGAGCAAGCAGCCGATCGTAAAGTGAGGCCCGCGCTGCAGAGGCAAGACCATGTCAAAGTACCGAACGCGCTCCGATGGGAGACGACCACGCACGATACAAATGTTTTGAAATCCCGCGTGTGGTAATCAACAGGTGCGCTGGGAGGGCGCAGTGCCCAAAGGACGTCTTCGCCGTAAAGTGTCAAAGCTAGGCGCGCTCGCGCCACATCTGACATCGTACCCCTCCCACCCATCCCTTCCATTGTGTTGAGCCCTCTATCCGCCGACTGGGGTGCCCTAGAGGACCTTGGTGCCCGAACTGCAGTTGCAGTCTTTTACTGATCGCCTGCTGCGCAAATGGAGAGGGGCTTGTTTGCCCACGGGAGGAAGAGTGGAAGGAGGACCAGCCAGATAAGGATGAGCAGGAGGTGTAGGAGCGAAGGATCAGGAAGGAGGAGCTGGAGGAGGAGAAGGAGAATCACGAGCAGGAGGATACAGAGGAGCAAGGTGAGCACGGGAGGGCGACGGAGGGGAAATCAGGGGTGGCAACGATGAGGAACGGATCGGATGTAGAAGTATGGCCAGTCCTGGGGACATAATGCCATTTTCAGCGGCGGGGGCAATGCACATATATTGAAAATGGCCAACGCCACGGCGGGAGCATCATGTCCCGAATGACCGAGAACGCACGATTGAGCAACAACCATGCCACATGCCAATGTCTGACAGCTTGTGCATGGGAGGACCATGCGCGGGAGAGGCGGGGACACGCTTGCACGTCGTAATAGGAGAGAGGATCGTATGTATGGTGCCAGCTAGCCGTAGAGTTTGAGCGAGAGGGAGAAAGAGAGAGAGAGAGCGGGTATGTAGTATATACTACAGTGTAGAGAGCAGAGGCTAGAGAGCGGAGAGCAGGCAGGAAACAAGCTAGATTTTGAGTATAGAGTAAGAGAATACAGCAGACAGCAGAGGTCACATGTAGAGGATAGATATTACACACACGCGAATCTAGGGTAGGGGAGAATTTTCAGTGGAGCTATACAGTAGCGAGTAGCGCTTGGCTAGTAGAGCCCTGAGGGCAGGAAAGAGAGAGCGGAGGGGAAGTGTGTGACTATGTTACAGAATATGTATAGTCGAGACTCGTCCCACCTGAAAGGTTCCACCCAAAAGGCACAATCCATAGACCCCACTCATACGGCTACTTCGCATGTTATGGTGCATGTGTCAAGCAGTGAGTGCGCTAAAACATCACGATTAGTATCATTGTGAACACGCCCTGCGCGCTAGATTTGGCGGCGGGCGCCATAGTGTCCCAGCGATGGTCGCAAAGACCTTATCAGGGCTGGCGGTTGGCGCTACTGGGCCCGAGCGGTGCACGTTTGGATGTTATGGCCTTGCATAGCGTAGCCTGCACACGAGGTGCTGGTTTCTATAAGTTGCACTTCAGTCGTAGCACCCTTCATACTGCACCTCTTTTAGGCCGTACCATACAAAGGGCACCAGATTGCACCTGATCAGCTGCACGCCATAGGTTACACCCATAAGTTGCACCCCGTGCTTCACACCCCATTGATCGCACGCCACACGCTGCACATCATGAATTGCACTCGGTAGGTTGCTCACCATAAATTGCACCCGATTTTCCCTTGTGTAGAGTTGGGCACGCTAGCTGGCGCTTGTGTGTTCTGTGAGTGCGGTCGATGTTGCCGCTCAGGCTCCCGTTCTTGTTCCCGCATCCTTCTCCGAATCCTCCCCAGGTCCTCCGCAAGTTCCCTGAACAGGAGGCTGGCCGTCAGATCGGAAGACAACGCCAACATAAGCTTTAGGTGCAACCGCTCAAGCAGGCGCTCCAGGGTGGGCGTGGCATACTGACACGTGCCTCCTCCCCGTCATCATCCCCTCTTTCTCCGGCTGCATCTTCCTCTCTTGCCGCTTCCTGCTCCTCCCTGGCCGTCCCGGCTTAAGCAGGCTGCGCGCTTCCGCAGGGCCGTAGTCATGGACCTGGGAGCCCATGCCTGGGACCGTAGCCCCGAGATCGACCTGGGCCACCTTTCTACTCCAAGGCGCCCTCATGCTGGAAGGCGGCCTGCGAGCGCCCGTGCGGGTCAGGATCCTTGGAAGGCGGGCGTGCCTCAAGGGTTCACCTACAAGAGGAGCGTCCGGGCGACGGCGCTGGCAACGCCCGCGAGTCCACATCCCGCGGTCGTCCCCTGCCACTCCTCCGTGCTGTCAGGGGGACTGCCTGCGGACCCGCAGGTGGAGCCCCCCAGGAGGCCCTCGTCTTCGCGCCGGAGGCCCTCGCCTTGCTCGCGCGGGCCGCCCCGGTGCCTCGCGGAGGCGTCAGACCCGCTCTCCCAGCTGGCGCGCTTCGCGCAGCTGGTGCGCGAGAGGTGGGACCAGCCTGGCCTGTGGAAGACGCTGCACCTGCCCCTGCGGTCGCTCGTTCCGTGCGAGGACGTGTGCGTCGTCGCGCGCTCGATCGGCCCGCCGCCACGGCAGGAGGCTTGTCAAGGCCCCTTCCGCAAGGACGTCCGGCAGTCCATCCGAGGGCATGAGCTCGTGAGGCACGTGGAGAACTGGAACCCTCAGCGCATCGAGGGGCAGGCGGCGCTGAGGCGGCAGATATGCAGCATTCCTTCGCCGGAGGCAGAGAGGCACAAGTGGTTGCAATACGAGACCGCGTCCTCGGTGGCATGTGGAAGAGGCAGCATTGACAATCAGGACGAGACGGTATTTGAGCCCCAGGTCAAGACTATCAGGTGCCTTGCAGCAGTGCCACTGTGTGACGACAGGGGCTGTGTTGTGGCGGTGGTCAAGTTCATGAACCGCACCTCCAGCGATAAGCTTCCTGTGCCAGAGTTCTCCAGGACAGACTTACAGTTGTTGCAGGCCCTCGCGGACGTCTTCCAGTGCGTCGCTCATGGCCCTCTGTTGAGCGCACCAGGTGTTGGACTCGCTCGTCCACCACATGTGGAGTTGTCGGTATCAGACGACAATGTGGGAGCCACAGTCAGCTGGCAGATCCCCGAGGAAGTGGGCCCCACACTCATCCACGAGATCTCTTACGCGGTTGTTGATGGCACAGTCCTCTCCGAATGGCAGGTCAGTGAGGATCATTGGCAACCCGTGCCATGCGGAGCCCTTGTCCCGTCCCCAGTGGAGGAATTTTCGCCTGGCTTCACCATGGGCCAGCATTTCCAGTACGAGGTGACGGGGCTCAAGGCCGATGCGTGGTACGCCTTCAGAGTGCGCGTTGGAAGCCTGTCCGCGATGTCGCCTTGGTCTTCACCATCGAAGCTGTCCACGATGCTCGCGCCGCCGTACCCCAGGGTAGGCGAGGTCGTCGACGTCTCGCCCGCAGGCGACTCCGAGGTGCTGCTGAATTGGCTACCTCTCTGTACCTGCGGAGGTGGCCTCACGAAGGTGGAGTACTGCGTGGTCGTCTCTGGTGTCGCAAGATCTGGTGCAGCAGACGATGGCAGCCTTCCGCAGCGACTGTCAGACGTGTTCATTAGTGATGGTACCGAGCCACGAGAGACAGTCCGCATCTCAGGCTTGAACTCCCTCATGTCGTATGCGTTTGAGGTCCGAGCAAGGTACCCTCGTGTCGGCACGAGGGAGTTTTCGCTGGCGCTGCAGGCCGACGAGTTTGTGTTCCCGGGCCTCGACTACACCCTCCTGGCGCCACACCCTCTGGCTTTCGGCTCGACCGGCGGCGTGGGGCTGCCCACTCTGCCGCAGTTGACGCTTTGGTGGCCGTACCCACCACAGCTGCAGGAGGGCCTGATTCTGCAGTACCGCACTGCGTTCGCCACCGCTGGCGACACGGGCCAGCTCCAGGAGCTCCAGGTGTCTGGCTGGTTCGAGCAGAGACTGGAGGAGGTGATGTACACGCTCCGGGAGCACAGCGACGCGGCAGGCATGGCCTGCGCGCTTGACATTCCTGCCATCGAATCTGGACTTGCAGTGCAGTTCCGCGTCCTGGCCAAATCGCCAAGGAGCCGCGTGTCGCCCAATTCTGTGTGGTTTCATCCGAAGCCCGTGGAGCCTGCTGCGGAAGTCTGCATGGAGCTTGTCTGCTGTGAGGACGGGGGGCCTGCGCTGCAGATTGCTTGGGACAGCCGCCAGGAGCTTGACCTGAGCCCGTTAAATCATAGTCCTGAAGGCTGTGCAATTTGCCACGACCTCGCAGGTGGTCGTGGTCCCGTCGCCACGCACTTCCAACTGCGGCTCAGGTGGATCTTGCAAGATGATGCCCAGGTGGCTGGTGATTGGAGGGAGCTGCAGCCTGAGCCGCTGCCGCAGGCGTCGACGATCCCTACCAGCGTGGCGAGCGACCTGCCTTACAGGTGGTTGCTACGAGAGAGCCATTGGTTCGCGCAGGTAGGCGTGGTGCTTGAGGCCGAGCTCCGCCTCGGAAACGCTCTCTCGTGGTCGTGCTGGTCGCCAGGTGGCAGAGTCCTCGTGTCAGCCCGTCCGCCAGTCCCGCCCCCTGGCCACGCGCTTGAGGTCAAGGCCGTGGGTCGCGACGCCGTCCGGCTCGCGTGGCACCAGTTTCGCCCTGGGTGGCCGCAGCTCAGAGCGCTGGAGTATTCGGTTCTCTGCCTGGAGCTGCTGGCCGGCACAGGCACCGCGCCCGAGCCCGGTCGCCCCACTGACAGCGAAGTCTGGACAAGCGACCGGCAGCCGTTTGTTTTCGACGGCAAGACAGTGTACGAGTGGATGCAGACTGCGGACGACACCCACCTGTTCATTGAGGCCCCCTCAACGATTGGCAAAGCCCATTTTGAGATCAACATCGAAGACGCATGCGGCGAATCACCGCCGCCCCATGCATTTCTTGGAAAGCGCCTCTGTGGCCAAACGTCGGGCGAGAGCTTGGCCAAGCTATCAGACTATGTATTCCCCAAGCCGCTCTGGAAGCTCTTCGGGGAACACTTCGGTGAGGATGAGGGGAGGATCACGTCAGGGAGGATGAGGAAGAGGAGGAGGGCGATGAGGAGGAGGAGGAGGAGGAGGAGGAGGAGGAGGGAGAGGAGGAGAAGAGTGAGGAGGAGGAGGGGGAGGAGAAGGAGGACAAGTGAAATCGCAAGACTCATCAACGATGTTGCGATTTACAAAGTCCTTAACTGTGCCAGAACACCATTCCTGTGAGATTAACGCTGATATTCAACGTTACTATTGCGTCCTGGCGATCCTGAATCACACCAGAGGACCATTCGTGGGACTTTCACACCGCGAATCAACGTAACTGTTGCGTCCTGAAGTTCTACCTCGTGACAAAACACCATTGCCGGTACGCCAACAACCATATGAATCCTAAACTGTTGTCTACTGTTAAGACGAATGTGCGCGGCGCTGATGCGATATCCATAGTTTGGAAAGGTATACCGCCCTCCATCCGCGAAGCCGTTGCAAATTTTTAGGGCGAATGTGCGCGGCGCGAAGGCGAGAGTCACAGTTTGAAAACCACCTGCCCTCCATCCGTGAAGCTCTCCTAAAGTTTAGAGGCGCTTGTGCGCGGCGCTAAGGCGAGAGCCACAGTTTGAAAACTGCCCGTCTTCCATCTGTAAAGCTCGTACACATGTCTTAAGACGATTGTGCGCGGCGCAAAGGCGAAACCAACATTTTGAAAACGGACCGGCCTCCTTCCGTGAAACACATGCAAATTCTAGCTTAAGGATCATACGTTGTGAAGGAATCCCACGCCGTCGGGGTGCGACAGGGGGGAGTTATTCAGCAGGGAAAAGAATGGAGGAGGAGGAGGAGGCCTCTTGGGAGCATCTTGGGTCACTCTTGGGGCTTCCTGGGGGCTTCTTGGATGCCTCTTCGGGCCTATTAGAAGCTTCCTTGGGCCTCTTGGGGGCCTCAGGGCATTCTTGGAGGCCATCTTGGGCGTCTTGGAGGCCGCCTGGGCCGTCTTGAGGCCCTCTTAGGGCCGTCTTGGGGGTTGGCCTCTTTGGGTCTTCTTGGAGGTCCTCTTGGAGGCCTCCTGGGCCGTCTTGGAGGCCTCTTGGGCCGTCGTGGGCGATCTTGAGGCCATCTGGAGCCCTGCTAGGGGCATCTTGGCCCATCTTTGAAACATCTTCGGGCCAACGTGGGTTCTCTTGGGGCCACCGTCCGTAGACGTCTTGGTGGCCATCTTTGTCATCTTTGAGGCCATCTTGGGGCCGTCTGGAGCACGAAGACCGACGACCTGTGAAGTTCATGGGTCCTCCCAGGGCGTAACGCCGACGGACGACACCTTCCATACGGTTTTCCCCGTTGCCGGTGCGTTAGGCAGGAGGCTCTTGGAACTTGTGAAACAGGACCAACACCTACCCAAAGTTTGACACGCCGTGCCCTTTGCGGCAAGGCAACAGGGGGCGGCGGATCGAAGACATGCGGCGAGTCACCGCCGCCCCCTGCTTTTTGGAAGCGCCTATGTGGCCGAACGTTGCGACCAGAGCTCGGCGAAGCTATCGCACTATGTGTTCCCCCAGATGTTGTGGAAACCTGTCGCGGGGAACACGAGGGGAGAGAAGAATAAGTGGAGGAGAGGGAGGAAAGAGGAGGAGGAGGAGGAGGAGGAGGAGGAGGAGGAGGAGGAGGAGACACAGGAGGGAGTGGCCTCTTGTGGCAATATTTGGGCCTCCTCGGAGCCTCCTGGGGGCCTCTAGGAGGCCTTCTTGAGGCTTCTTTGGGCTTCTTGAGGGCTTTTGGAGGCTCTTTGGGAGGCTCTCTGGCGGTCTGAACCCCTGGGCTGTCTTGGGGCCCTCTTGGGGCCGTTTTGGGGGCCTCTTGCCTCTTGGGCGCTCTTGGGGCATTTTTGGTGGCCTTTGGGGCCGTCTCGGGCCGTCGGAAAGCAGAAAAGGTACAAACGCCACAACTATTCAACGATGTGGGAAAATCAAGGATGTTGACCTCTCCGGGCCTTCCTGGAGGTCCTCTTGTAGGCCTATCGGGCCGTCCTGGAGGCCTCTTGGGCCGTCTTGGGCGATCTTGAGGCCATCTTGAGCCATTTTGGAGGCACCCTGGTTCATGTTGGAGACATCGTTGAGCCATCTTGGACTCTCTCGGGGCCACCGTAGCCGTCTTGGAGACCATTTTGGCTGTCTTGGAGGCTATCCTGGGGCCGTCTGGAGCGCGAAGACCAACGACCTGGGAAGGGCATGGGCCTATACGGGGCGGAACGCCGACGGGAAACATTTGTCACGCGGCTTTCAGGGTGGCCAGCGCATTTGGCCGAAGGCCCCTGGATTTGTTTGAAAGTACCTTAACCTACGTAAAGCTTGGCAAACCTGCGGCAAGCCGCAGGGGACGACGGATCGAAGACGCCTTCGGCCCACATCGCTTAGGTGCCCGTGCCCACCAAGGACATGGGGCGTCTTCGAAGATCACTGGGGCCTCTTGGAAGGCCTCGTGGGGCCTCTTGGAGGCATCTTTGTGGCTTCTTGGGCCATCTTAGGGCATGTGGGAAGCATGGACCTCAAACTATGCCTCCACGGCCTCGAGAAAAGTCACGACCCAAAAAGTATGCCACCCCAGGAATTCCGGAAATCTGGGTCTGAGGCCCAAACAAAGTGTTGACCATCTTCAGTTCAAAGTTCCATTTCGTGCCTCGCGGCATGGTAGCGGATCGAACCCGAGCACTTGAGGGTCGGGCTCAAGGGGCATTCGCCGTTCCTAGATGAGGAACTCTTCAGCCTGATCAGTCCGAACAGGTCCTCCTGGATGATTGACGGCGGTGAGGTGCACATAGTGCTGAAGAAGGCCCACAGGGGCGAGACTTGGGGCGCCGCCCTCAAGGCACATTGCCAGCTGCTCGACACGCCACTTGGGCTGGAGGCGAGCCATTCGGTGATGCTCGGAGGCGCCCAGAAGGAGCCCGACGTGCAGCCGAGCTCCTGGCAGACGTGCATGGTCATCAGGCACAGCGGTGCCGAGGCCGATGCGCCCCTGGAGTGCAACATTGGCCCCCTCCTGCCAGACAGGGCCTATCTGTTCGCGGTGGAGGGCAGGTATTTGGGGCTGCCAGCGCGGGTAGCCCAGGACGCCGTCGCCAGGCTGCAGGCGCCGAGCCCGCTGCTTCCCAGAAGCTTCCACCTCCTTACGGGGAGGCTGACGGCGTCCGTGTCGCTCGAGGACAGCCCGTCGTGCTCCGCTGGCTTCAAGCTCAAGCTCGACTGGTCGTTACAGGCCATGCCTGCGGGCGCCCGGCTGCCAGAGGCCCTCCTGTACCAGATCCGGGCCTCGCCACGTGCTCGCCTGGGCTCCGCACTTGGTAACGAGCCCTGCCTTGTGCTGTCGCCGGCCCTGCTGCCCGAGCAGGACGCCTCAGCGCGCAGCCCCGCCAGCTTCGCGGTGGCGTCGCGCTCCTTGCACATGGGGTCGGCCAGCGTCACACTGAGAGGCTCCGATCTCGAACCCCTGCTTGGCGCTCGTAAGCCTCTGGAGCTGCAGGTACGCCTCGGCCACATCTTGGAGGGGGCGTGGAGCGACTGGTCGCCGTCGTCCGAAGCCGTGGAGCTGACGCTCGAGCCCCCAGTCCCACCCGCCAGAGCGTCGCTAGAGGTGCTGGAGGAGCTCTGGAAGGAGGGGGGGATGCCAGCCGATGCGGCGCATGGCGTCCGCCATGTACTCCTCTCGTGGCCCCCCTTCAGGCCAGCGCATGGCGCGAGGTCAGACTGGCACGACCAGCTGCACATCGAGTACAAGGTGGAGGCCCAGGCGTTCGCCGATGTGGGTGCGAAAGGCGCGGAGAGCAAGTTGGACCTGGACATGACTTTCGAGTGCTTTGTCTCGCTGTCGCCAGTTGCTGCCGAGCCCCCTGTGAAGCACAGCGTGCAGGTGCCAGGCGAAAGGCTGAACGCGCTGCGTCGGTTCTCGTTCACCGTGTCGGCCCGCTACACGTTCGCGGACGGTGCACCAGTCCCGGTGCCGCTGGACTCCGGCCCGCGAGGCGGCCTGTCGTCGCAGGGCGCGTACTGCCCAACTCCGCCCCCGCGCCCGCCCGCCAGCCTGGAGCTGGTTGCTTCCTCGAACGACGATGAGGCTAGCCCGTCCGGTGTTCTGCTCGTCCTGTCAGAGGCGGCGTCCGCCACGGAGCACGTTGCCCTGCGTGTTGAGGCTCGTGCTGGGCGTGGCCGAGCCAGGGGTGTTGCTCCAGTGGGCGAGTGGTCACCATGCACCGTGGAAAGTGTGTCAGCAACACTTTCTGGCCAGCAGTTGCTTGTCACAGATCTTCCCTCGAAGGTCTGCCAGTTCCGACTGCGCCGTGACACCTTGGTGTCAGAACCCTCGGAGTGGATCGACACGGAGGTGTGGAGCCCTGCGGTCCTGGAGGGGCATTGGCTGAAGTGCAACGACGGGCTCGTGCTCGACAGCAGCTTCGAGGCGGTCCTCAGCGCATTGCATGGCCCACCTTTGGAGCCAGAGCTGGCATTAAAAGGTCTTGGTGTGGCGCTGTGCCTCTGCGGCGGTGTTGTTTCCGCGTGGTTTGCGTGGCCACGAGAACCGCCAGGAGATCATGCTGCGGAGATTACCAGATACCAGCTGCGCTGCTGCACAGCCGGCGGTGGCTGGGAGGAGCTGCCCGCAGAGGGCATCCGGGTCACGAGCTCGAGTTCGAGCGTCGCCGATTGCCACGTTACAGAGCTCAGTCAGGGCCTGTCGTACCAGTTTGCTCTCCGGCTTTGCAATGAGCTTGGCGCATGGTCTGCTTGGACAGCTCCCACGGTTGCGATGGTCACGTGTTTGTCTGCGCCGATTCCTGGGCACCTCGTGAAGGCCAGCGGCATCTCCGTAGAGGTGCCGACCCCCTCCAGCGTCAGGCTGGCGTGGCGGCCATTCTGCATCCCGCGGCGCCCAGACTGGGAGATTGCGCCTCCCATCTTGCTCGGCACGGGCGGCAGGCTGGCTGCGGGTGAGTATGAGGTCGTCGTCCGCGCGGAGGGCGGCCACACCGTCGCCGCTCTCCTGACCCAAGGGCCGTTGCTGTTGGAGGAGCTGCCAATGGACGTGGCCGACGTCCCATGGGTCGAGGTTGAGGTGGAGGCGCTGGAGCCACACCGGTCTGTCATCTTCGAGCTCAGGGCACGCCTCCCTGCAGCTCCATGGGGGGACTCTTTCATGTCGCCCCTGCTGGCGCCACGCTTGCTGCCCATCGGGGTGTCAACCCCTGGCGTGGAGTTCGTGCTCCGCCCCCAGAGGGGCCAGGCTTATACGCGGATGCAGGCGCTGCTGCTGCTGAAGTGCGACATCCAGGGCTTCTCCGCGGTAGCCACGGCGGCGGCGGCGGCTGCGGCTGCAGTGCCTGCACAGGAGGCTGCTGGCGCGGGGCAGGTCGAGCGCCCAGCTTACAACGTAGGCGCCGCGAAGCTTGCGAGGCTGCAGTTGCGGAGCTCGGCGGCGGATGCGGACACGGGAAAGCGGCTCGAGGCATGGAGCGAGTGGCCAGACGCGCAGGCTCGTGCACAGGACAGCCCCCAGCTTTTTGAGCACGAGGTGCCGCTGCCCTCCCCAGCCGTGTGCAGGCCGGGGCAGTATGTGTTCAGCCTCCGCTGCTCCGACGAGCACGGACGCTGGACGCCGTGGTCCACGCCGTCCTGCGCCGTCTCCATCCGCGTGCCGCCCCTGACCGTGAGCGGGCTGCGCGCCGTGCCCCTCGGCCCCACGGACGCACGCCTGGAGTGGAGCCCCTGCGCTGGCGTCGGCGCGCTCCCCCTGGCCGAGGGAGACGTAGAGTACCGCCTGCACATGACTCAGAGCGGCAGAGGCAGCACCAGGGCGATCGTCCTCGACGGCTTCCGGAGTGACCTCGGCACTGGTGGGACTCGGCAGCGCGAGGTTTACAATTTGGACGCCCATTCCGAGTACGTGTTTTTCTTGGCTGCTCGCCCGACCAACGTGACCCCGTGGCTGAACGGCTACGAGTGGGGCCCCGACGTTTCAGTTCGGCTGCCAGCACGGGTGATGTGCAGCTGAGGGATGTGTGAGTGTGTGTGTGTGTGCGTGGGCGCGGGTTTCCCTGTTGTTTGATATTTTGTGCAGCCATGCTACGTCCCTGTTGTTCTTGATGCCTCATATGCATGGAACCTGGCCCTGGACCCCCCATGGCATTCTCCCTCCCAGGGGGCCCCAGAGCAACGTAAGTGCCCCTTCCCGCTGGAGCTTCCCCCAAGGATGCCCCAAGAGTTTGCAAGAGGGAGTGCCCACTTACAAGTCACGAGAGCGGCCCCACCCGATTCCTAGAGACCACAACGGCCCAAGACGCTCCAAGATGACCCAAATACGACCCCATGGGGGGACGAGAGAACCTCAGGAGGACCAACCCGCCACCCAAATAAGTCAGACACGTAGGGAACCCGACAGGTTTTGACGATTTCCGTGGTGTCGCACTCATCGATCATGTTTGTTTGCTGCCAGCGTGGACTCCAACCAGTGGGTTCTTGCATTCTCGATGTGTGATATTTGCAATACAGTCTGAGTATGGTACAACTGCTGTGTTGCAGATTGTGCGATGCAATACACGAAGGTATGGGGTGCAGCCAATGTGGTGCAAGTAGTTGTTAAAAAACTGGGAGTCGCCAGTTCCAATGATCGAGCAAACATCCTCCCACACACACACAGACACACACACACACATACACGCACACGCACACGCACAAGCACACACATATTCACATGCAACTTCTCAGCAACACTCAACTGGCGCAATGACGCGATGACCATTGTCATGCAGATTCATGGCGCGTGCGGGCGAGTTTGGTGACGACGACATCGGCTCCACGACGAAAGTTCTAGACGCTTCGCGTAACCCCGCCAGTTAGCTCGCTCCTACGCGCTTAGTAGGAAATTTAGGTCATTGCTAGTTTGCAATCTCCTGACGTCGCGCGGCACTTCCGTTTGCGCTCGCGAACGAAAAAGTAACCCCACCAGCCCATCCAGAAACAATGCCCAGGTGAGTTGCCCTGACCAGGGATGCAGAGGAGCATGCAGTGGAATACACGGCTGGAGGAGGAACCGGAGAAGGAGGAGGAGGAGGAGGAGGAGGAGGAGGGGGAGGGGCGAACCCTGCCTAGAGAAGATCTCGGAGCATGGGGAGAGGGTTCTCAAAGCGCTGGAGGCGGGGAGGCTCCCGAGGGATATCAAAGCCTGGCCTGAGCCAGAACTTCAGCTGGAGCTCCCGCCCCCAGTTGCGTTGTTCTGCTTTAGGGAGGGGGCCCTGTTGCGGCTCACTGACTGGGTGGATCGCAGCCCAGTCGGTGAGTGACAAGTTCTGAGGGACCCCCTCCGAACTTTTATATAGGGGCTCCGCCATGTGGACACCGCCCTCTAGGTGGGCAAGAGGCAGGAGGAGGAGGAGGAGGAGGCGTGGGAAGGGGAAGGGGGAGAAGGGATGAGGGAGGAGGAGGAGGAGAAATACAAGGATGATGAAGAGGAGGAGAAGAAAGAGGAGGAGGAGGAGGAGGAGGGCGAGCAGAAAAGCCAGCGGCCTCTTGGATGCTTCTCGGAGTCTCTTCGGATGCCTATTGAAAGCTCTTTGGAGCCTTTAGGGCTGTCCTGGTGGCCTCTGAGAGCGTCTTGGGTGCCTCGGAAGAGCCTCTTGGGGCCTCTTGAAAGTCTCTTGGGAGCCTCTTGGGGACATCTTGGGCGCCTCTCGCGGCCTCCTGAGCGCCTCTTGGGGCCCTAGTGGGGTACTCTTTGGAGCCTCGGGGGCCATCTTGAGGCCATCTTGGAGGAGATCGACCAAAGAAACGGGGGGTACAGTCAATCCGCATAGTAAGGATGGGCGACCTTCCCAAGGGTACGCTTGCATCCTTGCCTCCTCGGTCCATCCTTCGCCGCTTTCGCTGGCCGCGCCCTGCTCGAAAAGCTTCGAAACGGGCGTCCAAGGCCCTTGCATCCTTATCGCGCATCCTTGCTAGACTGGTTGCCTGTAGTAAGTTAGGGTCCCCCCCCTCCCCTGGAGGCAAGCGTGGGCCCAAAACCTTAGTGAGATCAATGATTTGTGCCATCTCGCCGAGGCCTTCTTGGACGCCACAATCGGTCGCGAAGCGCTCCGCCCAGGTCCAGGGGAGGGGGTAAGGAGAGGGGTCAACCCCTTCTCCGACAGGGGGGGAATGCTGTTGAAAGAGGAAATGCCCGAAACCACCGACGCCCAGAGGGCTGACAGGATATATGCCGTCGCGGTTCTCTCCACGGGTAAGGAGAATCAGGGCGGGTAGCGTCGATAAGGCAGACGGCGACGACGGTGAAGATGATGATGATGAGGATGATGATTATGATGGTGATGACGATGATGTTGTTGTTGATGATGATTGCCGTGATGCTAATGCTGCTGCTGACCATGATGATGACGATGATGATGATGCGGATGCTACTGGTGATGATGACGATGGTGATGATGCGGATGCTACTGGTGATGATGATGCTGCTGCTGATGATGAGGATGACGATGATGGTGATGCTTGGGGTTATGGTG